ATGATCGTCAACGCTCCGACGGCAACCGCTGCCCCTGAAACCGAAATTAAATTCGCGATCTGATCGAGCGAACGAAGAAAGAAAAAGAAAGCGCTGTCGCGGTTCCCCTTTGCTTTCTAGTAGGAGGATCGTGCGTGCCCGTGCACCGGAAGAATCATCGCCTGGCGTCGCGAGTTTTCCCTTTCGCCGCGTCGTCTCTCTCTCTCTCTCTCTCTCTCTCTCTCTCTCTCTCTCCCTCCTTCGTCGTGTTATCGTCGAACGTCGCGTTAGCTTACCGCTCATCGTTCGCCGAAACGTCCCTAGTCTTTCTCGTCGGAGTGAAACGAGCCGCGATCGAATCGCGGTTTCGAGGAATCGATTATGGACGCTACCGACGAGCGAATCGGAGTCGCGACGATCGTCGAACGTTCGCGGTTGATCGATCGGTTAAGTTGTCGGTCACGTAGCTGATTTGTCACGTAAGCGACACGAGTCGCGACCTTCGAAACCGACTTGGTCGCTGCTTTTCCAACTACCATAAAGGAGCATCTTGCCGCATACGACGACACGGCGGGCCATACCGATCCGTGGACCGAGAGCGCGATTACGTAGCGCGAACTCTCGACTCGACTTTGTTGGCGGACAATCGAGGGAACGTTCCCAGCAAAAACGAAACGCGATCGTTGTTCCGTTCGGCACGAAGAGCGGCGTCGAGGATCCGCTTCGGTATCAACGATTCGAGGCACGATTCTCCGAGCCATACGCGTCACGCGCTCGACCTTACAAAATCCTTGGGTACGAGTATCTCTCGCGGCCTCGAATCGTCGCGTCGCACCGCTCCGCGCCGTGTCGGTCAAACTTTCCAGCGTACAAGCGACGCAACGCTCGACCGCGGTTGCGTCGCGAGAACGATTCTCTTCTTCTCCGTTGCCCAATGCCGACCGCGTAAATCGCGTAAATCGCGACGTTGCGTCCTCGCGATGCTCGACCGATGTGGAAATACAGGCCACGAGCCTCGTATTCCCGAGTGACCGAAATCGAGGTTCGCCTCGGGATCGCGCAACGCCCAACGCAGAACAGCTAACCGGCGTTCTCCGCTGGGCTGGCGTCATCTAATCTTAAGAAACGAACCCTAGGAGCAGAGATATCAACGCTCGCACGCGAACGTTCGAATCTCGGCAAAGATCGATCGGTCTCCGTGCGTTCCAAATAATTTCCTCCCGTGGTATTTCGGAGCGGTGACGCTCGTTCGAATTACCGTTACCCGCGTTGCTGTTGCTCGTCGGCTCGATCGGATGTCCACGGGAACGATCTCGATAGGTCAAAAGCGGAATCCGACAGGTTCGATCGGAGCGGTTCACCTTCGGAGCGACGGGTACGTGGCCGTTGTCCTCGAGGACGAGACAACTCGAATTTTCGAGCCGAAACGCGCTTACAGCTGGTCGTACGAAAACGTAGCGACGCGCATTCCTTGTCTCGCCTCTCGTCGCCGCGCCGCGCCGCGTCGCGCCTCGCCTCGCCGCGTCTCGCCTCGCCGTGCCACGCAGCTCGAAAGCTCCTCGAAAACCCGTCGGCCGCCATCGGCGACTCGAACGCCCGCC